TCAGGGTTATTATTGAGATATGATTTGTATTCCCAGCCATTTTTGTTTATTTTTGGTATTTAATATGACTTGGTTTCTCTTCTGATTAGATTTTCCTTTAGTGTGATCCCTCCCTCTGCTGATTTTCTTCATTGTTCTTCATTTCCTCTTCTTGGAATACTTTGCTGAGGATGTTCTGTAGTGCAGGCTTTCTAGTTATAAATTCTTTTAACTTTTGTTTATCATGGCAGGTTTTATTTCATCATCAAATCTAAAGCTTAGTTTTGCTGGAATTAAGATTCTTGGTTGGTATCCATTTTCTTTTAGAGCTTGGTATGTGTTGTTCCACGATTTCCTCATTTTGAGGGTCTGGGTTGAAAAATCTGCCAAGATACAAATTGGTCTCCCCCTAGATGTGATATGATTTCCCTTTCTTTCAGTTTTTAAAATTCTACCCTTATTTTGTTTGCTAGGCATTTTCATTATAATGTGCCTTGGTGTAGATCTGTTGTAATTTTTCACATATGGTGTCCTATAAGCCTCTTGTATTTGGTTTTCTTCATGCTTGGGAAATTTTCTGATATCATCTCATTGAAGAGATTGTGCATTCCTTTAGTTTAAAACTCTGTGCCTTCCTTTATCTTACATGTGGTCTTTTGATGCTGTCCCATAATTCTTGGATGTTATGTTTATGTTTTCTAACTATCTTCACTGAGTGATCAACTTTATTTTCCAGATTGTATACTTTGTCTTCATTATCTGATGTTCTTTCTTCCAAGTGATCTAGTCTGTTGGTTATGATTTCTATTGAGTTTTTTATTTAATTTATTGTATCCTTCATTTCAAGGATTTCTGACTGGTTTTTTTTTTTCAGGCTCTCTATCTCTCTCTTGAAGTAATCTTTTGCTACCTGTATTTGCTCTCTTATCTCATTGTTGAGTGATCAATTTTTGACTCATTTAGGTCATTCTTTAATTCACAGATCATTTTAATTATGAACCTTCTGAACTCCTTCTCTGATGTTTCATCAACTTTGCTGTCCATGGGTTCTGTTATTATAGTGTCTGGTTTGTTTGGGGCACTTTCCTTCCTTGTTTTTTCATGTTGTCTTCCTTTCTTGCAGTGTGGATCTGAGATATTACAGTTTCTTCCCTATATTCCTGTAGTGCCCATGCAGATTGTCTGTACGTCACCTTGATGTTGGGCTTCCAGACCCTGCTGGGGTCCCTCAATGAATGCTATTGCATCCTGGATCTGGTGTGGGTGGATCTGGGCCGCTAGGCTTGACCTACCTCAGTGGTCTGCTGGTCAGAAGGGGCTAGGCTCTGGCGGGTGTCTGCCCCACCAGGGGAGGGGTAAATTGGACCTGCTGAGAGTGTGGGTCCCACAAGGGCTGGTGTGGGCGTCTGGGCTGGATCTAGGCTCCTGAGGTAGTCTGCTGGTTGGAAGGGGTGGTCTTGCACCAGAGGCTAGAAGGGTGGTCTGAGAGCGTGGGTCCTATGAGGGCTGGTGTGGGTGGTTCCCATAATAAGTCTTATAGGCTTGCTTTGTTTTTTCTTTTTGTCTGATTGGGTTATTTCAAAAGACTTGTCTTTTTTTTTTTTAAATACTTTTTAGTTGTAGATGGACACAATACCTTTATTTTATTTATTTTTATGTGGTGCTGAGGATTGAACCCAGTGCCTCATATGTACTAGATGAGCACTCTGCTGCTGACAACCCCAGCCCCCAAAGACTTGTCTTTAAGCTCAGAAATTCTTTCTTCTGCTTGATATGGTCTGCTGTTGAGACTTTAAGCTGTATTTAAAATTTTATTTATTGTGTTCTTTGACTCTGAACTTTCTGTTTTGTTATTATTTTTTTTTGTACCAGAAATTGAACCTAGGGGTGCTTAACCACTGAGCCACATCTCCAGCCCATTTTTTTTTATTTTTTGTTTTGAGACAGTTCTCACAAAGTTGCTGAGGTTGCCTTTGAACTTGTGATCCTCCTGTCTCAGCCTCCCAAGCCACTGAGATTACAGGTATGTACCACCCTGTTCAGCTTGGTTTGTTTTCTTTCTTTCTTTCTTTCTTTCTTTCTTTCTTTCTTTCTTTCTTTCTTTCTTTCTTTCTTTCTTATAATATCTATTGTTGTTAAATTTTTCATTCAGTTCATGAATTGTCTTCTTAATTTCATTGAATTGTCTATCAGTATTCTCTTGTATCTCATTGAGTTTCCTTAACATCGTTAATTTGGAATATTTTCAGGAAATTTGTCGATTTCCATTTTTTGGAGTCTGTTCCTGTAGAGTTATTGTGTTCTTTTGGAAGCATACTGTTGTCTGGTTTGTCATGCTCCTGTGTACCTATGTTGGAATTTGTGCATCTGATGAATCATATTCTAATGTTATAGGTAGCCTTCATAGAGAAAGACTTTCTCCTGCTGGGGAGTCCAAGGTCACTGCTTGGATAGACTACTTTAGCTTTGGTTCCAGGAGGGTGCTCTGGTGAAGGGTCTGTCGTTTCCTGAGTTGCTACTGCATCCTGGATCTGGTGTGGGTGGATCTGGGCTGCTAGGCTTGACCTACCTTGGTGGTCTGCTGGTCAGAAGGGGCTAGGCTCTGGCGGGTGTCTGCCCCACCAGGGGAGGGGTAAATTGGACCTGCTGATGTCTGTGGGTATCTCAGTGGCCTAGGCTGGAGGGGTTGTGGGATTTTATCCCAGCTCGGGTGTGGTTCTCTTAGGTAGGGAGGGTTTTCAGAAGCTCTGGATGCAGGGTGCTTGGGAAGATGTGGGATAGGGGTGGGACATCTGTCAGTCTCCATGGTCCAGGTGGAGGGGGGCCCTCTGGGGGCCCAGGCAGGTGAGACACAGTGCAGCAATGGAGGCAAGTGGCTGTCATGTTCCAAGAGCCTGTGGAAGTGGGGCTCATCTGGTGGGCCGAGATTGGTGTGGTACAGTGTGCCTAGTAGCAGAGAAGGGCACCTGTCTGCCCTTTGAGGGCTGCATGGGGGCTAGGTTGAATTAATATGCCTTGATAGGGCACCCATTTCTTCCTGAGGGCTAGCTGTGTGGCTTCATGGTGTCTATAGGGGAAAACCTGCTCACGTTGGTGCTGCAGTCTGGCTGGGCACAAAAATCATCCAGAGGTCACAAGCCACTTGTAGGTTCAAACAGGAACTACTTTATTGCCCAAACCCCACGGGAACTCTCTAGAACTCCCCGGAAACTCCGCAAGAACTCAACGGGAACTCAAAAGTAGCGGGCACCCGAGGTAGCAGGAGCCACCTTATTGTCGGACAGCAGAGGTTTATATACACAACTGAATACACAGCTTGTTTCAATTTAGCATCATCCAGTTACAGCAATCAGTCACCATCCCAGTAATTATACACAGCTTAACTTAATCACCATCATCCCAATGGCTCACTGGCGTCACCTCCCAACCACTCCTTCTGGCAAAATGCCAGGCGCCATCCTGACTTGATTGTGGCTCTCAACAGATTGGGCTGTCTGACTGCTTCTCAGGGCCAAGAGTGGGCCAAGTCACTCAGAATAGGCTGCTTGAGCACTAAAAAATGACAAAATCATAGAATTTTCATGGAAATGATGGCATTAGAACAGATTATGCTAAGCGAAGCTAGCCAATCCTGAAAAAGCAAATGCCAAATGTCTTCTTTGATATAAAGAGAGCAACTAAGAACAGAACAGGGAGGAAGAGCATGAGGAAAAGATTAACATTAAACAGAGATGAGTGGGGGGAGAGAAAGGGAGAGAGAAGGGAAAGCATATGGAAATGGTAGGAGACCCTCAATATTACATAAAATTACATATAAGAGTTGTGAGGGGAAAGGGAGGGGGAAACAAGGGAGAGAATTGAACAACAGCAGATGAGGTAGAGAGGGAAGATGGGAGGGGAGGGGAGGGGGGATAGTAGGGGATAGGAAAGGTAGCAGAACACAACAGTCACTAATATGCCATTATGTAAAAATTGTGAATGTGTAACTGATGTGATTCTGCATTTTGTATTTGGGGTAAAAATGGGAGTTCATAACTCACTTGAATCAAATGTATGAAAGATGGTATGTCATGAGCTTTGTAATGTTTTGAACAACCAATAAAAAAAAAAGAAAAAGAAACCTAAAAAAAAAAAAAAAGAATAGGCTGCTTGGATGTTTCTTGGAAGTGTAAGGGATGGACAGTGCCACCTAGTTGCTTCCTAAGCTTCCTAAGTGGGCTGAGCCTTTCAGAGCAGGTTGCTTGGCCACTCCCCAGAGTCATACGTGGGGCTTCCTGGATGCTTTTTTGGGTACTCGACTGACAAAGTTTCTCAGGACAGCCTGCCGCACTGCTTCTTGGGCCACAGGTGATGGATGGGGCTGTCTAGCGCTTCCCATCGGCTTTAGAGGGCCAAGCCATACATTAGGGAGGGCTGCTCAGAGGCTTTCCAAGGACACCTGGGAACAGGGTAGACTTTGTCTGGTGAGTTTGCAGAGCTGGACTGGCTAAGCTGCTCAGGTCAGCTGCCTGGACGCTTCACCTCAAGCTGGAGCCATGGAGCAGGATGCTGGTGGGATGAGCGTTCCCCGTGGGCTGGGCCCTTTCTCTTGGGCAATGCTGTAGTGGGCAACCTGGCAGCTTCCCCAGTGGGGCTTAGGCTCTATGAAAGCTGCAGCTTCTCAGGTGTCGTGGCATGATGGGTGGTGATCAGAAGTTGTCAGCAGTTTCTTAAAAAATGGATTTATTATTAATGATGAGCCTTTCCCAAATATACAGTTATATAGATCTGAGTTCTCCAGAGAAATGGAACCAATAGGAGATTCTGCACACGCGCACACACACACACACACACACACACACACACACACGTAAACACAGTCATGAACCACATAATGATGTTTAGGACTGCTAAGGGCCTCTTTGCTCAAGACACAGGCTAGTAGATGCTGTGTGCTGGGTTCTCTTCTTTGAAAGACCATGATGTGCTCCATGCTCTGGGATGTCTCTGCCATATCCCCACTCACTCTGGCACTGCTTCAAGGCTCCAGGGGAATAGCTGTTGCATTTCTTTGTTTGGTCTTCTCTTTCTCTATCTCTCTCTCTCACTCTCTCTCCTTCTCTCCCTCCCTCTGCCTCTGTGTAGTGAAGCATGCCTAGCATTTGTAGTCAGCCATCTTGCTTATGTCTCTCCTTAATAGAAAACATTTGAAAATAGAAAATAAAGCTTAGAATTGGAGACAAATGGTTTTAAAGTTCTTTTAAAGAAACTACGGATTTTGAAGACAATAGGAATAATAATTCAAGAGCAAACAAACAATATGGAGTGGCCGAGAGCTCTAGTACAAGTTGATCACATTATGAGGCCAAAATAAGGACGATCTAATCAGGTCTCCCAAGCCCTTGGCCACAAAATAGGACATTGTCAATATTTTTTGAAAAAATGGATTTAATATGAGTGGTAAATCTTGTGTGGACACATGACTATATCAGTCTGGGTTCTCCAAGCAATAGAACCAATATGGCACTGCATAGTGATGTTCTGGTCAACAGAGGTGCACGTATAAAACAGTGGACCACAAGATCACAACAGAGTTGAAAAATTCCCAGTTCTTATTAGCAGGGTAGCCAGTCCAGTATCATAGTGCAACACGTTACTCACGACTTTGTGGAGACGCTGGTATAAACAACCCATTGTGCTGCTAGTGTTATAATTATGTACGGTACATAACACTTGATAATGATGACTTAAGACCATGTTACTGGCTACGTATATACTATACAGGAAATGCTGTACACAAAATACAGTGTACTGCTGAGTTTACAATAAAGAGAAAAATTCCCAGAGCCAAATCTTTACAGTAAAACCAAAGTCTAGAATGGTTGTAGTGGGTCTTAGTAATCACAAGACAGAAGATGAAGGCTTAGGCCAACTGGAAATGAAATTGAGATCCCTGTGCATAAAGTAGTAGTTAAGGCAGCAATACCGGTGAACAGGGTGGACCAGGGAATGATTTTGGCTCAAGAGTGACTGGAAAAAAGAGTTCCTGATATATAAGTAGCTACAAAACTATTCTCACATAGTTTGGGGGTTCCAGAGAAATGGAAATAACATGCTGAAATAACAACCAAACCAAGACATTATCATAAAAGTAAATTATTGAACATTTGATAGAAGCAAATGTAAAGTATCTCTGGAAGAATGTATCTTCAACCCAGGCTCCACAAAGCAAACCATAGAATTAATCCTTAGGAACTCCAGTTTTGGGGATTATTCAAATATTTAAAGTATATTTTTTTCAAAATGAATAAAGAAATTAGTGAAGTAATAAGAAACAAGAAGGAAACAAGATCTTAGAGATAGGAGAGACTAAGCAGATTTGATAAAAGAATAAAATAGAACTATTTTATTTTATTTTTATGGGTGTTTGAAGAGAAGCATTATAGGGAAACTAGAAACTCAATGGAAGGGTTAGATAATACATTAGATGCAGCTATAGAGAGAATCAGTCAGTTAAAAATGTAGAAATAACCAAGAACATACCAGAGATAGCTAACAAGGGATTCTTTCTTTAAGTTAACATCTCTTTGGGTCACTTTTGAGTTACATTTCCCTAGAAGATGAAACAGTGCACATGTAGTGATGATGTTATACTAATACTATAAATAAATGGAGAAGTCCAGGTTACACAAACCACAGAGACAAATCAATTTTTTCTTTTTCCTCTTCTTTTTGTTTGTTAAAGAAGATAATTTGATATTAAAATTATTCATGCAATGTATGATAATGGATCTGGGCTTAAATGGTACCTCCAGAAGAAGGTATTCACAAAATTTGGTTTTTCTACTACCTCTATTTAGAAAATATTGGTAAAGTGTTCTAATTCTCTGTGTGAACACATTCACTTTTGTTTACATATTTAGGATTTTTAATTGATACTTTAAGCTTATAATTATTTTTTGTGGTAGGGCTGTTTTGTACATTATAAGGTGTTTAACAATATTCCTGGCTTCCTCCCCATTGAAAGCTAATAATGCCCTTCAA